GGATGGAGTTGACAGGAGGTGTAAGGAGGGATGCTGCGGGTTGAAAGGGGTAAGGAAACGCCAGGGGGAGGCAAGGTGACCGCATTCTATGTTATGGGCGGTTGGATGTTTTGGCCAGATGGCTTGTCCGCTCCGGTCAGTTAGCCGGGACGAGCGTGCGAGAGCTGGGGCGCAGCCGGTGCGCCAACGGGCCAGCCGGCTGCGCAGGGCCCCTCCCCCCGCGAATTGCGCACGGCCTGGGGCCCTCACTTGTGCAGTGCCTGGGGGTCCTTGAGGTGGTGGCCAGCTGCCATGAGCGCCATCATGGCCCAGGCGGTGTTGACCACGTGTGACGCGCCCTCCAGCTGGCTGTAGACCTGGGGACAATGTTTTGGGGGGCAGAGGACGTGCATGCGGAGAGGGACGAGGGAAGAGAGTGAGCGATGGCATATGTGTGTGTGTGTGTGTGTGTGTGGGGGGTGTAGTGTGCGTGTGTGGTAGCGTGTGTATTTATTGCGTAGCGTGTGCGTGTGTAATGTGTGTAGTGTGTGTGTGTGCGTGTGTAGTTTGTGTGTGTTGTGGGCGCACACACTCCCGCAAAAAAAGGCCATGCAATCGCAGTGGTAGCTGGACATCCACACCCTGAGGGCGCTTTGTCCCAAGCAAAATGTCCTCTGCCCTTCCGCGGGACTCGACCACACATCAAGATTGACGCGACCGCAAGAGCTGTGATCGCGTTTCCCGCCCCGGCAGGCCGATGGAACTCTAGAAACCTGCACGCTCTGCGCGCCTTCCCTGCATTGCCTTGGGAGGTCGGCTCTTCCTGAGGCACACCCTTCCCCCCACCCACCTTCACACCCACGCACACGCACGACGCGCACAACCACACACACACACACGCACACACACAAGAACATTTCCGTGCACCCTCCCAGATTCCCGCAACAGAAAAAGGAGGGCCCCGAGCCCGCGGCCCCCACCTTGTCCTGACACGACAGGTAGCTCTCCCCCCAGCCGCCGTCCAGCCGCTGCTTTGACGCCACAAACGCGCACGACCGCGCCAGCGCGGGGTCGTCCTCGGCGCTGTGGCCCAGGGCTCCCAGGGCGGCGGCGCCGAACCAGCCCGCGTAGGTGAAGCACACGCCCCAGGAGCCGTACCTGGCACGATTGGATGTTTTTGTTGTGTATTTTCTTGGGGATGTGAGGTGGTGAGTTGAGTTGTCGTGCAAAGGTGTTGGGCATGCATGTGTGGGGTGGTGGCTCAGGGCCCCTTGCATGCACACATACCAGTGCTTGTTTGGTGCAAGACGCAGCGAACCGCGAGCCAAGCTGCAGACGCCGTTCCAGGAAACGATGCAAACGCAGCCCTCAGTGATGAAATCTCAATAATGGCACCCATGCACCCCCCGCCCCACACACTCACACTCACCAGGAGCCGTCGGGGCGCTGCACTTTCCGGATGAAGGCCTCTGCGCGCTGCAGCGCCCGGCGGATGTCACCAGCACGGTGCTCGGGGTGCTGCCTGCTCGCATGGGGGGATAAGCGTGTGGGTATGTTTGTGTGTGTTATGGAGGGCGGCCGGTAGGCGGTGCAATGGTGCGCGGTCTGGGTGGGGTGTGCTACCGCAGAGGGTAGGGTAAGCGACGGCACGCGCTGGCAAGTTGTGGTTGGTGGACTCGAGGCCAACCAGCCTCCACCTTGATTGCAGGGGCTCCTTGACAAAATGGAGTCAGCAGGAAAGGAAACTGTGCCGATGACCGCCGATCACCAGGTGAGCAACCCTTATCCCCAGGCCCCCGGCCCCAGTGACGCCCGCCTTATCCAAACCCGCCGCATCGACCCCGCTCCCC